TGCATTAGAATCATTCTATCAAAGAAAAGTTGCACAAAAAAGGAATTAGAACAACTACTAGGACATTTAAACTTTGCCTCCAGAGTAATCTTACCCGGTCATTTGTCTCTTATCTCTACAAACTCATGTCCTCGGTCAAAGAGAGTTACCACTATATACATTTGAACAAAGAGTGTAAGGCAGATTTATACATGTGGTTAGAATTCTTATCAAGCTGGAATGGTATTTCCATCTTTTATGATCCGTGTAAGGTAACGGCAGGCTCTATACAGTTTACTGATGCCTCTTCTACAATTGGATATGGAGGCTACTTCAAAGGACATTGGTTCTGTGATAGATGGCCAGTCAACCTACCTCATGTTGTTAATGAAACATTATCAATGGCCTTTCTAGAACTGTATCCCATAGTGGTTGCTACTTATCATTTTGAACAACTTTGCTTCTATGAAGCTATACAAATTCTCAATACTTTTTGAGATATCAGGAAAACACTTTTGGCCCCTCTAGCTCCCTTATGTTAGGGGCCAGGCCCTTATTGTTGATATCATTTGAAGGATCGTAACATTCTACACAACTTTTGTTCTATATGTTTTAACAAAATATTTACAGGTAAAAAGATACAGTGCGGTCTCGTTATTACGATGTTCATTTTGTCACGGGAAAATATCGTAATACCGAGGGCAACGTAATAAAAGTTCCCAATAAAATCCATTAAAACATCCTTTTGAAAGTTTGTTATTTTTGTGGAAGGTGTATTTTTGCCCTTTTGTTCCCTTCTTCTGTTCTAATTCCTAATCAAAACGCTAATACATATATAATTTATTAACAACTTATCTTGAAAGATATCTTCATGGTGATATTTTTTCTATTTCTTTCATTTTAAAAGAAATACGTATATTTCTTATAAAAACTTCGGCGATCTATCGGATCTTCATTTATCTACCGCCATTTCCTTACTTTTACTTTCGTTTCTGACTCTGTAGATAATGCGTTCGTAAAAAATTCAACAAGCCGTCTTCGTATTCAATTTATAGTCGTTTACTACATAACAACAACAATTTTTAGTGAGCTTTTGGGTGTTCAATGAGCTTAGAGCAGCAGTGAACAACTGATGAAAGAGTGTGACTGGCATATTTAAGGACAGAATTTGACAACGTACAAGCTATATGTCAAAATAAATTTGATTTTTTAAATTACTGAACAGAGTTCAATTAGCAGTTCAGCAATTATCGATTTGTATTTCTGCTGACACCTGTGAGGTAGTCCAAGCCACAATCAAAGCTGTTAAAACGTAAGTGAAGTTCAAATTTGGCCAAAATTATGTTTGATACCCAAGCTGTCCATTACCGCAATTTAATTGCAAACGAAATTACACAATACGTGTTTAACATACATACACAAGATTAAATGTAACCTTTTATTTAATAAATTAATTTTATTTATTAACCGAAGTATAAAAGATAAAATAAACTTTACAGACATAGATAAACTAGAGACTACGTTTATAAATAAACAGTTTAAATTTAATTGTTTAACAATGGCTTTGACACGATGTCTCCAGTTCTGCTGACCTGGCTAGAACAGTCAAGGTGTGTGCAGTCAAGCGTCACTAATCACCTAACGGCCCTGCAAAGTAACACTCTGTCAGAGCACAGGTGTTTCAATGTTTATTTAGGGTCTCCTTAAGTGTCTACCGTCGATCAACACTGAATAAACACGGAGTGAAAAAAATTTTGGACAGAATTTTTACATCGTAATACTGAGTCCCGGCATTTTAAGACATCATAATAAACGGTTCTATTTTGTATAGATTTGTTAAGAAATGGTTTTGTGCTTTGAATTTACAACGTAATAAGCGTTCGATCTTATAAAACCGTCACCGTAATAACGAGTCCGCACTGTATTACAGAAAAAGTGTTAGAAAAATTAAAATTCCCAATAGGACTTTTTCCGGGCCATAGCGAGTGCCGACGCGTGGCACTTCCAATAAAAATGAAATGCCTTCCACATATCTACAGAGATAGGTCTACCATACCTGAAAGTTTCATGTTTCTAACTAAAGCCGTATATGAGAAAATCTGCGGACAACCCGACCCTTCGAAAACCATTAAATCGGCAATATCTCCGGACCGGAAATGACATCATCAAAACAGAAAAAATCGCATAAGGTTCAACTGATGCTACATATGTCCTGAAAGTTTCATGGAAATCCATCGAGCCGTTTTCGAGAAATTGCGTGCACAAAATCAGTAAGAAAAAAAAAAACGATAATAATAATAAAAGTGAAAAAGAAACCTAAGAATAACAAGAAGGTCTTCCGCTGAAGACAGAAGACCTTAAAAATAGTGGAAAAGAAACCTAAGAATAACAAGAAGGTCTTCCGCTGAAGATGGAAGACCTTAATAATAGTAAAAAGAAAAGTGAAAAATCAACAATAGAATAATAGAGGTCTTCCACAGAAGACGGAAGACCCTAATAAGAAACAGTAGAATCACTATAAGGTCTTTCGTGAGAATGGAAGACCTTAAAAACAGTGGAAAAGAAACCGAAGAATAACAAGAAGGTCTTCCGCTGAAGACAGGACCTTAATAATAAGAAAAAGTAGAATTCTATAAGGTCTTCCGTGAAGACGGAAGACTTTAATAGGAAGAGGAAACAATAGAATCATTATAAAGTCTTCTGTGAAGATGGAAGACCTTAATAAGAAGAAGAAACGATAGAATCACTATAAGGTCTTCCGTGAAGACGGAAGACCTTAATAATAAGAAACAATAGAATCACTATAAGGTCTTCCGTGAAGACGGAAGACCTTAATAAGAAACAATTGAATCACTATAAGGTCTTCCGTGAAGATGAAAGACCTTAATAATAAGAAACAATAGAATCACTATAAGGTCTTCCGTGAAGAGGAAGACCTTAATAAGAAACAGTAGAATCACTATAAGGTCTTCCATGAAGATGAAAGACCTTGATAAATCTTTAAAATTCTTCTTCTAAAGAACAGAAAAAGTATGATTATTCATATTTATGTGACTGTATCCTCAGGTAGTGTAGAATCAAATTTTGTCAAGTTATAACCCCTGGGGTTTGGGTAGGGCCACAAAAGGCAATCATAGTTTTACAAAGGGGATATATAGGAAAAATCTTTTTCTCAGAAATATCAAACTGTTGCTGAGTCATATTTGTATGGAAACATCCTCTGGTAGTGTAGATTCAAATAATGATCTAGGGATGGGGGATGGGGCCAGACAGATTGATTAAAGTTTTACATTTATATATAGGAAAAATGTTTGAAAATCTTTTTCTAAAGAATAGCAAAGCTATGATTAGTAATATTAATGTGGAAACCAGCATTCGCAGTCATTGAAGATTCAAGTTTGTTAAAATCATGACCCCTTTTGGTAGGGTTTGGCCACAATATGTGATCTGAGTTTTGCAAAAGAATATATAGGCTGATGAAAAACAGAAGGACCGAATTACTGAGGTGAGCGTTGCGGCCCATGGGCTGATTGTTGATATTTAAATCAGGGCTTTGGGCTGGCCATTCAAATGTTGAAAATTGCTCTCAAAATCTTTCACTATTCTTGCTCTATGCAGGAGTATTGTGATCTTGAATTATATACCGATTGTCTGGAAAATGCCTAGCTATAATAGAAAATACATGAAAATACATGAACCTTAATTGAAAAAAATATATATTTTGTTAAGAAATTATTTATCAATATGATTGGCCAGTTAATCAATCTGAACATCTTGTGATTTACTCACTGGCAATTCTTTATTCAATTGCCAACCCTATATATAGCTTTAGCTAGGGTCCAGGCAATATTTTAATAGATTCAAGTTTGTTCTAATCATAACACCAGTGGGTAGATTGGGGCCACAATGAACAAGGTTTAACATAGGAATACTGTTTAACATGGTTATAAATAGGAAAAATCTTTTAAAATTTTCTGCTCAAGAACAGCAAAGTCAGATGAGTCATAATTTATTTAAGTTTCTTCAAATCATTACTTTGAAGTTAAGTTTGGGCTCCTGTGGTCAAATTTTACATATTAGGAATACATACATGTATAGGGGGATCTGCCGCTAATGATGGGGAAAATGTGCTGATGAAGAACAGCAGGACCATAGTGATTTGAGTGAGCATTTAGGCCCATGGGCCTCTTGTTTTCAGTTCCTTAAGTTTTGAAAAAAGATTTGCCCAAGTGCCTTACTAACACTGATGACAAAGATCATATATTTTTTTATCCCATGTTTACCCCTTTATCCCATGGATATGACTCATTGGATATTTTTTTCATATCCCACAGTTCTAGTTGTGACGTCACAATGGATTTTGCTTTAGCGTGATGAAGAAAAATAAAGTGGATGCCTATATAAAACAGTGTAAAACATTGGTTGCGAAGTATTAAACATGGGATAAAAAGAATCTCCCATGATTTGTAGTTGGATATGACTTTTATCCAACTCGTGTGTTTTTATCCCCTTGCCAAGGCTCAGGGATAAAAAACACACAACTTGTTGGATAAAAATCATATCCAACTACAAATCATTGGAGATCCTATATATATTTTATTCCACAGAAGAAAAATTCTGGAGTAGGGCATGTAAAAATTGGTATGGTCTTTGTAGAGTAAGTACATGCACATTGGCCAACAGGCATTTGTTTTGTGAAGGCTGTAAATTCAGTTAAGTTTGTTTAGTCATAACCTCTTTGGACTAGGGTGGGGCCACAATTGGTGATACAAGTTTTACACAGAAATACAGTGTGTATAGAAAACGATATTTAATATAAATCTTCTGAAGGACAGCAAAGTCATGAATAATTGTACTAATATCATATGGAAGCATCCCCAGGTTTTCTGGTTCAAGTTTTTCAAATCGTGGCCCTTAGTGGGCTTCAAGTGTATTGCACAGATTTTATATATGAATGTTACATTAATAAGTCAACATAATTCATACATAGTCAGGCACATTGTTATGTCTTGTAATTTCAGAATATGCTGTTGTGATTGAAAATGGTACATTTGCTTGGGAGAAAGTCTCAGGAACAGTGACTTTAAAGAAGTGAGTTTACAATGTATTTGATAGACTAGATTGAAAAATTATCTTGTCTATAACTAATGTTAGTTAATTTAAAAAAATGATATATAGGAAATAGTTACAAATTCCCCATTGTCATTTGATTTGAAATATTTTTAAAAAGTTCTTTGCCATTTCTGCATTTAAAGGAAGATTTTCAGAATGAATCTTATTTACAATCAATGACAACAAAAAGTTTTAGCCTCACTGGAACATTCATTTATCAACTCATGAAATTGCAAGTTATTATAAACATTTTTTTTAAATTTAGAGATCAATATACTAATGGGATAGGCAACTCTCACAAAACTGGTGATATTTTTCACTTCATGAGATTTTGTGTGTCAATTTTTATTTAAGAAGTCTTTAATTTTTATACACCCGTCTTAAAATGGGACATTTTATATTATGTCTATCTATAAGTCTGTCAGATTTTTCGTGTCCGGCTCATAACTTTAATTCTATGAGCCCTAGAATTATCAAAGTTTGTCAGCTGATACATGTACATATTGGGTAGAAGTATGTCACACATTGATAATAGGTCACTGTGAGCTTTAATTTAATAATGCTTTGACTAAATATAGAAAGATCCTGTCCGGCTGATAACTAGAAAATTTTACGACCTAGAATCATCAAACTTGTTCAATTAATGCATCCTAGGAAGAAGGTGTGTCACTTGCTACTTGAAGGTCACTGTGACCTTTAAATTAAGGTGATTTTTTTTTTTTAAATGTATTTTAACTTTTTATTTACCAATCCCAACAGATGTAAGAGTATTGCAGTAACATTATTAAAAAATTTGAATCACAATCATACACATTTTTTCCCATTATGTCTTTTAGAGCAGTCTATAAGAAAAAACTTCACTTCTCCATGGGTGTAATAATCAAGCAATGCATGGCCATGGAAAATTCTGATAACAGAAAATTGCATGTCAAATTAGAGGTTGATTAAATAATGAGTTTAGTGAAAGGATTTCTGGTAAAAGCATAATCTCTGATCAAGCAGGTGATTTATCATTTCTCATGGGAATTTGGCAGAGAAATCTATCCTCTTAACTGCAATTAATAGTTCAAGTGTGTCAGATTAAAAATTTCTTTTTGACTAGCCATTACTTTCAAAACACATTCGTTGTAAAGTAATTAAAACTAATTTGATATTGTATGATATATATTTTTTAGCTCATCTGAGCTGAAAGCTCAAGTTAGCTTTTCTAATCACCTATTGGCCAATTTTAGCCAAAGTTGATAGAAAGCATCCTTGGGTGATTGGAAGTTTAAATTGTTAAAACGAAGGGCCAAGCCTTCTTACAAGGGGAGATAATCAAGAAAAGACAAAAATAGGGTGGGGACATTTTTTTTTATCTTCTCAAGAACTACTGGGCAAGAAAAGCTGAAACTTAATTGGAAGCATCCTGGGGTAGTGTAGATTCTAAATTCTTCAAATCATGGTCCCTGGGGGTAGAGTGGGGTCACAATAGGGAATCAAAGTTTTACTTGAAATATAAAGGGAAAAAAATTTAAAACCTTCTTCTCAAGAACCACTCGGCCAGAAAAGCTGAAACTGATTTGGAAGCTTCCTGAGGTAGTGAAGATTCTCTGTTCTTCAAATCATGACCCCTGTGGGTAGGGGGGCCACAATCAGTATTACAAGGGGGAAAATTTGGTGAAGAATTGCAGATCCAAAGTTACTCAATTGAGTATTCTGGCCCATGGGCCTCTTGTTTCAATTTTAATTTTTATATACTGAAAGGAAAAAGAATGCAGGGTAAACTTTTTAGGTGAAATAGGGTTATATTTTTTCAGACGTATTTTTCAGTATTCCTATCTAACATTAAATTTCATTTTTAATAAACATGTAACCAAAATTTCATTTGATTTTCCCAATAATTCATATGACGGTACCCCCCAAAAGCGAAAATTGAAAATTCTCATTATCTCACATGTCTCCCTCGTGCATCTGTCACAGCCTTGATTCTCTCATGCGAGGAGTTCATCAGTGTGGTTATCCTTCTAATAGGGATATTATTCAACCCTTCCGACAAGACAGCCCTAAGTTGATTGATACCAGCTTGGGCATTTTGAACCCTATCGTCCACATAGTCCTAAAGAAGTGCGATGCGGAAAAGATGGACTTTATGGAGACTAGTTAAGTGGATGAATGTGATAGTTTGCGAAAAAGTCGACAAACCCTGAGAGCATTGGGATGGGGGTTAACATGCCGAAAAATAGGCAAACGACGCACTAGTGCATGAGTGAGAGGAACACCAACGTAAAGTTACGAGCTCACAAACCAAAATCCCATAATCGATTTCCTTCAGTTTTGGGGTGAATGAAACGACTATCATAACCTACTGTAATACAGTATCCGCATCGTTATTCTTTACAGGATACATGATACGATAAGATACACGCACAATACGATAGGATAAATGCACGATACGGTAGGATACACGCACGATACGACCGGATACATGCACGATAGGATAAACACAAAACACGATAAATGCAAAACACGATAAACTCAAAATACGATAAATGTAAAACACGATACACCTGATAAACGATCCTCACGATACGATAAATGCAAAACCTGATAGGATTGTTTCAAAATGTGGAACGTTTTTTTACAAGATGAATTGTTTCCTTTTTAGATACACTGTGGTATGATGATTTTAATTACTTACAAAGGCGCAAATTTAAATGATATATATTAAATGTATTATGAGTAAACATTTGAGGTAACTATGCTTTGTACAAGAACCATGTTTTTTTTTTGTCCATAAAATGGATAGTCACCAAATTCAAACTGTAATTATTTTAGTTAAATTGCACTCTATGGTGGAAATTATAAGATTGTTTGTATAATTATTCAAATGTCGAAATTCCCTCGAATCGCTAAACCTGAATTTTAGTCATTTAATTACGGAGATTTTAATTTGATGGTGGCTCAAAAATTCCGTAGACAAGTGAAGTTTTACACCCAGGTGCAATAATTCATGAAACGCTTTAAATATATTCAGCATTTTAACAAATAAAACCTTTAAGTATAAATTTATTAACAAATATTGAGTATATATCCGAAAGAACTTTTTGTAATAAATGAAATATTCGGATTCAATATCTTCTGCTAGAAGTCTGCAATGTATCCAAAATCACATTAATTTTAATAATCGGTATTTGATAATTCAAATCTTACGAAAATAATTTACTTGTCAGTTTAGGGGATAAAAACGATATGGAATTCTTTTGTATTTATTCTCTGGTATTTCCAATGTTATAGGCATGTAGGATCCAGAAGGGAGCATACAGTCGTGTACCTAAAAATGTTACAGTGTACCAACACGTGTAGTATAGAGTAAAAATATAATGCTTATTTAAATATCGCCCATCATTAATAATGTCTTTAGCCCCTTTTGTTTGCTTGTCAAAACATTTCTTTTTAGACACCCCCCCCCCCTTAAGAATTGAAAAAAAGCTTTCTACACGAGCCTGCTCCACCTGCTTTTCCTCAAATTTTTTTTTTCAACCTGTCTGCTTTTCCGTGAACTACCCTATACTGCTTTTCCGTGCTTGAATTTTACTATAATTTGTATGTTTTCTCCTTTTTTACGATACTACCTTTCCGCGATTTTTTGGTCACTGTAAGCACTTAACATCAAACTGTTGCCGATATTTATCTGGATTGTCATGTATCTCCCTATAAAGTTCTGCTCGGTAGGACCACAGTGGGATAAAAATTGAATGAATAACATTTTACACTGGTCGGTGATGTTTTAGATGATATGAAAATTGTTCATAACGAAACAAATCGTGGTAACAAATATATTACAACCAATGGATTTACGTATAGAAAGGCCAACATTTTAAATAATGGCGATGTGTCTTACTGATGAAAATATGCAAAGCCACAATTACAACCGATGCAGAAGATTGCAGAGATAGAAACAAAAAGAATACTGACAACAATCTTATTAAAAGCCAAAAACCAAAAAAAAAAAAAAAAAATAAAAAAAATAAAAATAAAAAAAAATTGACTGAAGCCGGTTGATAGCAGGGAGAAAGAGTTTTTACCTGGCTAACGGAAGAGGTAAGTGCTTAAATAAGTTGCAGAAAAGCAAAAAAATATAATCGCGGAAAAGCAGTATAATTTGAAGCGGATAATCAGGATTCTTTTCATTTAAAAGCTGTGTTATAGATATTCACATTAACAGAATTTATATCTACCATAGGGCCAAAGTTTTTATTTTTTTGGGTTTAGTAACGATTTTCTGTCTCAAAAAATTGCATTGGGTGGTCGAAAAATAAAAATAAAAATAATTTAGGATTCAACAATTTCATCTTAAAATACCAGCAATGTTTATTTTAATAAAAATAATACACGTCAATAGTACTTTTAAGTTTTATTGTCTAGATCACATAACTCTTTTTATTTAATTTTAATTCATTTCTAACTTTAGACTGAATGTCATTTTCATTTACATATAGTTTGGATTTTTGTTTGTCAATCAATGCTTGGTTCATGATGTTCAACTTCTTTTTTGCTCTTCAGTGATATGTGATGTGTTATAAACCTCGGTATCCCCACAAACTAAAAATAAGGATCCAAATTTAAGTTAAATTCAGATTGAAGAAAAATACAATTTTAATTGTTTAACAATATTGAAAGTAATTGACGTTGAAATAAAGGTTATAATAATTTGATCATGCAGCTGTCAAATTTAATGTTCAAATAATTTCTCAATCAAGTCCTTCTTTAAATTTTGTTATGTACCTGCACAGTAGGCAATGCTCATTATTTACTTAGTAATTCAGAGGGTTTTGATCTCAATTGAGTATCAAATTTTGCAAAGATTTGTATTTTGAATTTACTTCTATAAATTAACAAATGTTTTATACACATTTGAATTTATTCAGTGAAATACCAGTAAGTCAGCGTTTCTTCAACTAAGATGTATCTCTCAACACCAAATTGGCTTAACTATT